AAATTAACTCTATCCCAGCCAAAACCAGGACAATCACATAACCTAACAAGTGCAGTGAGAATACATTGCGCTTGTAGGTGGATTTGTCAAAAAACATTTCCTGAAGGTGTTAAGAATTGCTTTATATTAGTCCATTGAACTGATGTGTTTTTATCCTTGTCTGTTAATTGCCAAATTGGCAAGGGGCCAGGGACATTCTTCAGATTGCAAGTTTACAATACAAAAAAGATCTACCCTGGAAAATAAAACAAAGGAGGAAAAGAAGGCTCTTTCTGTTCCTTCTTTCTAAAATGCAAGAAGACAATGAAGACAAACAATCGCAACGGATTGATCCCGGTATATTTTGTAATATAAAATGCAGACAAAGGATTAAGCTCTGCTCTCCTTTATGACCACTTAATCACACTGGACCCACTCCTACGCTCAGGACAGAGCTTGGAGGAACCTGCCACTTATTCTGAACTTGCCCCTCTCTTCTCTTGCCTGGGGTACGTCATTTCACATTTACCTGCATTGCATGTCACTGGCTGTTGGCAGCATAAATCAGTTAGCCTGGGGGGTACAGGGGTGTCTTACATGGGGAAAAGAGTATGTGTAGGAAGTGGGAGGAGATGGGAAGGTAGCAGGAGAAATTCAGACCACAAATAAGACATTAAACACCCAATCACTTAAGGTAGCTTAACCTGCTGCTTGCATGAGCTGAGCTGGGATAGCAGCCCGAAGGCACAGCTGCATGCATGCTGTACTTAAACTCTGTTTAACTCTCAGGGGACCATAGCTGGGATGAGGGTTGGGCACGTAATTTAAATCTCCATACCTGAAGTTGCCAGAAATTGTTTCTGGGTCTGAGGCCAAAGTAGCCTGTTCACAGATGTACTAATGCCAAGGTCACACCGAGGTATGTTGATAAGGACCATGGCTGGTATCACACTACTTACTTGTAATGGCTTAAATTAACTATCACAAATAGTATCAGGAGGTAAAACATTGCCAAGAGCCTGGATTGGCAGCCCTGAGTGGTTTCCCACACCAGCCACTTCTTCGGCACTGTCTCTGCCCTTCCCTCTTCCCGGCATCTTGGCGAATCCTATGGAAACCCTGTTGTGAAGATTTGTGAATATATGTAAGCAGAGGGAGACGCAAAGACGGTCTGAGATGTGGTGCATGATGCTGGGAAGAGTGAAAGTACTGATGTCTGGGTTGGATCTAACGTGTGTTTCAAGGATGGAAAAAAATGGTTGTGGTCCAAGTCACAGTGAACTCGACAAAAGCATTTTCCATTCATTTTAGCCTTCCTTTTTTTCAGTCCCCAGAGATTTTTTGTTTGTTTGTTTTTTTTTCATATCATGAGCATCCATAGGGAACGTGAGCATTCATGGGAAACTGTAAGTAGCAAGAATTAAAATAGAGTATCCGGTGGTTTATTTCAACACGGGAAAAGGTCCTTGGGAGTTCTTCTGGTTTCTCACCTTCCTGTCATGTGCTATAAAAGACAGGATGATTAGGAGTTTGGAGACACTGCAATACACTGCATAAACACTGGTTTGTTTGGTTTGTTTTTTTTTTTTTCTAAATCCTAAATATAAGTTTAACCTTAGCTCAGTTACAAAAGAAAAAAAAAAAAAAAACACCAAACAATCTGGTGAAATGGGTGTTTGTTTTGGAGGCCAGAACTGTTTCTGTTATGAACAATAGTCCATTTTATAGCCTTTTCCAAGACAGACTGGATAATCCCCCTCCTTCCTCAACTTAAAAAAAAATAATAGAAGAGCAGGAACTGTGTTTACAAATACCGAATTGCTGAGCATTAACAGCAGTAGGGGTTCAACCCGTCAGCATCGCAGCACTTGAATTATCCAGTCCATAAATGGATAATCAATGTGCTTCTGGGATCTGGCATATTTTTGGGGGTTTAGAGGCTGTGTTTTTATTTAGACTAACAACTACATCCAGGCTAGTAAAGCAAATGTGTCTGGGGCCGCTCTCCGGCATGGAAGCCAGCTGGTGTGGACAGGGCCATGCACGGGGCCGTGCTCTTAAGCCCCCTTTCTAACTCTCCAAGGCACAGCGGCAGCATCTCCACCGCCTTTCAGGTTGCGATTCCCAAATTCTACCTGGGAATAATTTGGAAGATTTCTGGTTAGCTCCAATACTTCCCTCTAAAAAGTTAAAGCGAGCGCAGGATTGTTCCCTGGTGCTGTTTAATTTACTGCTGCAGGCGAGCCCGAGCAGCTGGGGTTAATAAAGCCTTTTGTTATCCAGCCTGACCCACTTGTCAGCCCTTGAGCTCCTGTAAATGCATTTGTAGGGGCCAGACTTAAAATAAATCTTGAGGCATTTGGCAAACAGCAGCTAATTGAATGGCACACACTACCCATCATGTGCTGCAGATAAGAAACCTGAAGCAGAGCAAAGGCTTAAGACCATGGTCTGAGGCTCCTGCCTTCGGATTTTGCTTTACGGGACTCTAAATATTTACACACCACCTCTAAACACCAGGCCTGTGCTGTCTCCAAGACACCATGTCAAACCCCTTGGAAAAGTGGTTTGGCCTTGGGCAGCTCCTTGCGGATCCCCAGGAGAGAAGCCAGCAGCAAAGCTGGGGATGCTGCACGCAGCCCAGACCTGTGGCCACCAGTTGCACTTCCCCATGTCTGGATAAGCATCAGATTTGGATGATGAAATGAAGGGGATCCCAAATCAATGTGGCACACAGAATGGGTTGAAATAATGTTTTTTAACAGGTAACAGTTGCAGGCTTGCTCTTTGTTTGCTGGCCTGAAGCCTGCAGCTGAGCAGCAAATGAGAATTCTCTGGCTGAGCTTTTGCTTGTTCATAAATTGCATATATTCTGACACAGCTGCTTCTCCAATTTTTTTTCTTTTTTTTTTTTTTAATCAGAAGAGTTATTTAAGCAATGGCACTTTTGGGGCTTTTTACAAACATATGAATTTTTAAAAACCACAACACTTTTTTCTTCCCACAGAACAATGGCATTGTGAGAGGAAGGGATCCATTTTTTTACTTTTAAAAACTCGTTTAAATCACTGCTGCCAGGGAGGGGACACCAGGAAGGGAATGGAGAACAGCTCCAGGTCCCTCTGTACCCCCCAACTCGCCAAGGCAAAGCAGCTCCCTGCCTCTCTGCCTGGCTCGGGATCTCACAGGAACTCTCTGAGATCACAGGCTGCCCTCACCTACCCTTCCTTGCCAGGAAATATAGCAATAATCCATGTGAAACAAAGGCCATTTATACTTTGATTTCCTCCATCTGTCCCAGGATGTATGAGCCGTTCTTGTATGGCTTTCTCTGAATCACGAGCCCAGCCTCGATCCTTAAGAAATGAAGCCAGCTGGGGGGAGGAAGAGAAAGGAACCAATTCCTCTTTCTTCCTGTCCTGCTCCTCCCTCCTTTGCCGAGTGCTTTTTGTTCCGCTGCTTTGAGTTATGAATACTTTGCTGCATATCTTGTGGCTATCAAGGTCAGCCTGAATGAAGGTGAGTCATTGCCATTCAAATGGCTACAAACTGTAATTCAAATAAAGCCTGAGCGCCATTGGAGCTGATTCAATACAAAGGGACTCAATGTCCACAGGTCGATGCTCTGCCCTTTCGGAAACTTCACCCTGAAAATTCTCAGTATGCAAATACCACAGCTGAAATTGCAGCCAGTGCTGTTGTGCCAAGGGCTCTGAGCTGATCAGAAGTTTCAGGATGGGCAGAGAAAAGCAGAGAAATTAGGTTAGGAGGAATGCAAAAAACTTTCTGAAAATAATGTTTCTTTCTTCTTGTGTGTTTGTGTGTCTCTCCAGGCTGCAAACTGCTCTCCGTGGCTTAAATGGACATCAAAGCACGTCTCTCTGCTGGAATGTACATCCCGGGATGATCTGATCCTTCGTCAACTAACTTCCAAGAAAAAAAAATAACCACCCTCTTCTTTCTACAATTTGCTTGCTTTAATTTATGGCTTGGTCCCACACAGAAAACCTGAATTTTAATGCTGATACTGCTCCCTTCTATATCTGGTACCCTTGCAGAAGGGCAAGGGTCCATCTTCATTGAATCCTCAGTGGGAGAGGTTAGCAACAGGTCACGGAGAGGTGGAAGAGACTTGGAAGCACTGTGAGAAGGTGAAAGGAAATACCCAGCTTTGCCTTTTTTAAGCCCATTTTGGGGAAATGAAGCTGCTTCCCTTATGGGTGGCAGTATTGGAGTTGATATATTCAGCCTAAGCCTGGGGTGGTAACTGGCAGGCGCCTGCAGCACCCTTTCCTTTTTGCCTTACACTGGACTCTACATCATACTTGGTCAGCAGCGACGGCAGAACCCAAGCAGGAAAGATGGTCGTCGTAAGGAGGAGGAACGTGAAAGTGTTTACCTTCGCCTTTTTGCTCATCACGGTAACATCGTTTCTGCTGAACTACACGCATCAGGTGACCATGACCACCTGGGATCTGAGACATCTCATCATGCAGTTTTCAGAGCAAGTACAAAAACTCTTCAAGTACCCCAGGAGACCATGCAGCTGTCGCACGTGCATTTCTGAGCTGGGACATTCCCTCTGGTTCGATCAGAGATTTAATTCAACTATGCAACCTTTCCTGACCTCACAAAATGCCTTGATCCCAGAAGACAGCTACAGGTGGTGGCTGGTAAGTGGGAGGTGTGGATACATCCCAGCGTTTGTGCGATGGTTGCGGTGTCAGGCTTCAAGCAATGCCGAACAGGTAGTTAGAGACGGTTCCTGCCAAAAGCATTTGCTGTCTCAGCTGACAAGGTAGGCAGAGGTGGAAGAAAGTGGGCGTTCGTGCTGCTATTTAGCTCGCAGGCACTCGGAGCGCACGTTCACTTGCTCCAAGCTAGAAAAGTCCCTGGAAGAGTTAGGCGGTGAATCCAGAATTTGCAACGTCAATATTGCCTTTTTCTCCCCTCTCTTTGAAAGACTAGGCTTCATAAGTTGGCTTGTTTCGCTTCAGATGGTAAAAAGGGCTTTCGCTGTCCATCCAGGTAGCAAAGCAAACTCGTTGTGAAGTGTGTAATTTCCCTGAGGCTCTCCCCACTGTAAATCATGTAAATAATTAGCAGGATTAAATGGAAAATTATTCATTCCATGTGTATGAGAACAGTCTCTATTGTGGCTGGTGATGTAAAATGGGTCTGTAAAGTGCACAGGTGGCTGCGGGTCATTGGGAAGGAGCAGCCATTGTGTATCCTCTGAGTAGGGTTGTCCAAAGAGCCTGATCCAAGCATCATGAAAGCTAGCGATACCTTGTTTGAAAAGCACAGAAAGGAAGAGGGTGTATGCTGATGTTTTGCCTAATTAAAGCCCCTTTTATGTTCTCTAGAAACAAGACATTGATTAAATGAGTTGCTCATGTCTTGCACTGCTGAGCTGCCAAAGCACAGGTTCTGGCTGCAGCGACCCCAGTCAAATCACAGTTTCACTATGAGTTGCCTTCCCCCTCTTCAGAAAAAATAGCCTCCCTCTGCCTTTCTTTGAACACACAACCACCTGCAACTCGGTGTCCTGCAGTGAGCACAACCCTTGATGCTGAATTTGGGGCTTTCAGCCCTTCCCCGGTGCCCTGGGGAGGCCCCTCTGGAAGGTGCCCGCTTTTGCAGTGAGGGCATTCACATTTCAGAGGAGGTGTCAAGTGCTGTGGGAATGAGGCTGTATCTGATTTATCACTTCTCACTCTTCTGGCTTTTGCATGTACTGGTGAAAAAGAGATGGCACTGAACTCCGATGTCTAACTGTTGCATAAATGATATCCTCATTTTATGATGAAACCCTTCTTTTTGCTATGAGTCTCTCATGTTCCAGGCATTGCATCCTTTCACCTGCCCCTTGGCCATGACTCAGATTTCCCGTTGCTTATGTTTTTTCTTGCAGCCCCCTGATACTTTTCCTTCTGGTGCCCACATTTCCTAGGTGGGCTTTGCTGGACCCACAAGAAGGGAAGATGGCAAGTTCAGGTCCTAGTTCCCCTTGGCCTGGGGTGAGGTTTCACCAGGGAGCTGAGCTGATCTAACAACTGGCAGGTTTTGGAGGAGAGGTCATACCCCAAATCAAGCTCAGTAGATGAGCGGATGAGGTTGTTCATAGACACCGTGTTGGGGGTGGTTGCAAAGTACCTCCTGATTGCCTCTGAATACAAAATCTGGGAGCACTCAGCACCTTAAGGAGGTGCCGAAGAGAAGTTGGGATATCAGTCCTAAATCCTGGCATCGGTGTGGGGGCTGTGCTCCTCCAGCACCCAGGCTGAGGAGGAGTCCTGTGAGACACAGCTGGGTGGGCAGGGTGCCTCTGCTAAGGGGGCTCTGCCCCCGAGGGTTTGTGCATCCCCCCGAGTGAAAGCCGTGCTGCATTCCGCACTCAGACCCCACTCTGATTTAAACATGAAGTTTCAATGCATTCTCTTTAAAAAAACAAATTAGAAAACAAATTAAAAAACAAACTGGGACTTTCAGTACAGAAGTCTGAATTTCTGATTCTTCTTCTTGTAGCAAAACTGAAAAAAAAAAAAAGCACAAATATCTCACTTCAGCTCAACCTGAAACAGATTTTTTGGGGGAGGGTTGTTTCGTTTTCAGCTAAATTAAAAACTAGTGACTTTCAGGATAGCCAAAAGTCTCCTTTTTCTTCCCCCTCCAGCTGAAATAAAAGCTGTCCATTAATTTTCAGGGCTGTCTAACCCTTTTTTTAGTGTTTTCATTAATTTTTTGAATTCAGGTCAAGTTCAAAGGGAATACACCATTTCAGAACACAAAATCAAAGCAGTTTTTTCTTAGATGTAAAAATAAATTTTCTAAGATTTCTACACTTTTTCTATGATTTTTTTTTTTTTCAGCCAGAACTTATCTTCAACTAGAACGTGTGAAATATTTTGGTGTCCCCCAAAACTGCATGTTTTATTGGAAATCAGTTACTGAAAATACTTACCCTAAGCTATAGTAGATGGAGAAGGTGCCTTCACTCCTCTGAAAGATGCTTCTGGGTAAAACCAGGCATGATGTGGCCTCAGCTCTTCATTGCAACCTATTTCCTATATACATGTTGCTTTGGGTAAGCTTTTCCAAGACAGTCAGTGTCATTTCTACAGTAAGTAATTCCCAGGTGCATCCTGACTCCACTCCCTTTTCGCTGTTCATTTTTAGGCTCGTCTTCAAAGTGATTCTGAGATTTCTGCCAGTCTTAAAGAAAACATTGCTCATGGCTATGTTTTACTGTCACTACTTCGCCAACTCAGTAATTTGTGACTCTTTAACATATTTGCACTTAAAAGATGAGGCACGAGAAGACCTGAGATTGCTTAAACTTCATTTCAGGGGAGAAATAACTGTGCGTTCACTCTCAGGAACTGACTTCAGACAGCGTGGTGGTTTCGTTATGCCGTAACTAAGATGACAGTGACGGCACTGGAACTATTTATTATAGGGCTGTGACTTTCCTGTCACGGGGAGACCCATGTCATGTGCTTGGACTACACATAGGCAGAGCCTTTCCTGGAGAGCTGTCTGTATACCAAGCTCAGTCTGCCCTCCCTTCCCATTAACCCTGTTGCTGTATATGTGAATAAGGATTATTCATCCAAATAGTCCTGTACCATTAGTATCCCTCCACTTCTAGGAAAGTGATTTCAGAGCCTAATGACCACTATTTGAGATGAAGTCACATTTGGGGCCAAAGTATGGGGTGGTTTCACTTGCTTACAGCTCTTCACATGGCTGCCAGGCTGCTTCATAGTTTATTTGGAGAATATATTGTTTAAGCTCTTACAGCGTGGTAGGATATGGCCTTTTGGAAGGAAATATTCCCAGCTGCTGTGAATAAAATCACGTTATCCATACTGGAGTTAGCCATACCACCCGTGCGGGTGAGAAGGAGCAGGGAAGAGAAGGGCAGTGTCACCGTCCCTGCAGCAGCTCGTCCTGCACAGGGCAGGGCTCCTTCTGGAGAAGGCACTTGAAAATGCACCTGGTTGTTTCTGTGTTCACAGAAACAAGGGGGCTGTTGTCAGGGCTCTTACTTGCTTTTCATTTCCTTAAATCTACACAGATCACTCTCCCATGGTTACTTCAGTCAGGTAACAAATAATAGCCCGAATTCTCCTCCTGTGTACACCCCTGCAGCTGCTCTGAGCTTTTTGTGACTTAAAGTTCAATTGGAGTCCTCCCCTCAGAGATAATCTAGCATTAATACTACCCCGGACTGTAACCAGCTTGTTAGAAATTAATTCCTTCCTTCCTTCCTTCCTTCCTTCCTTCCTTCCTTCCTTCCTTCCTTCCTTCCTTCCTTCCTCTCCTCCTCCTTCCCTTCCTTCCTCCTCCTCTCTCTCTTTCTCTTCTCCTCTACCTGTGTGTCTCTCCATCTGTCTGTCCTTCTGCCTACCCTCATCTTACGCTCAGGGACTGTGAAAGTCTCAGTGTTTTCAGAGTTGGCACTTTATGTTATGTGCTGCATTTCTTTCTATTTATATTTTCTTTCCCACCTCCCTGAGCTGGTTCACCTGCAAGTTTTTTATTGTTGTTCCATGACACAAATGCTGTGGACATTTCTACTAAATGGCGTAACCTGTATATAAGGAAACAGGGCAAGAATTATATGCTGTAACACAGAATAGCAATTATTTATACTTTTCTTGTTTTATTCTCAGGGGGTTTTGGCATTGATTTTGGTGGTCAGAAAGGATAAAATATATGAGATCATAACCTGCTGTTCTAAATATGAAATAAGCCTGTTGAGGTTGAAGGCTTAAAGCTGTGATAAGTAAAATCAGGCTCAGAGTTCTCTGGCAATCTTATCTGTAGCACATTGTTCATAAACTACCACGTTTATCTCAAGTCTTATGATATTTGAGGGGTTTTCTTTCTTTTTTTTGGAAGAAAGCTCAGCTCTTGGGGCCATGTGATTAGCGTATCTAAAAGAAAATGTTAGTTTTAGTCCTTATGTTTGTAGGAAAAAATGTAATACGTGACTTAAAGATTTGCTAACCAAATGGCGAACAAAAGGGCATCCCCAACATACGCGCTGGGGAAGCTGGGGAAGCTGCACTTATTTTTTAAGACAGCAGCAGAGCTACTTGGCACCTGAGTCATGCATTTTGAATGCTCTTTGTAGAAAATTTGCCCAAATACTTTGATCACCAGAAGTCGTCTTTAAAACTGGGACACTGTCTGTGATACTTTGAAAGCAATACAAAGGGCTCAGTGCTCTGAAGGCAGCATGTTCACAGGTTAAGGTGGTTCAAAATCCAGCCCAGGTCCCAGGCTTTAGTCCCAGTGCCTGCTACATGCCCAGTCCCACCTGGTGGTGTACTGCTTGTGTGCAAGCATGACATTTAGACCAGCCTTGGACATACTGGGAGAGAGAACCTGACCCTGGGCTATCCCTTATTCCCTCTGGCAGCCCCCACATATGTCTAGCTGGGCTGCAGCTCCAGGGTCTCCTACAGAGACAGGACAGATGGATCTGAAGGTGGTCCAAGCTCATGGGTCCCTCTAAGCACTGCAATGCGCTCTGCTGAGCTGCAAGCATTCTGCAGCCAGAAACGAGGGCACACATTGCTAGTGGAGGCAGGGTCTTTGCTCCTTAGAGTAGCATGGAGGTGACCTGCACCAGTCATGGAAGTCAGAAATCATACAATTTGGC